ATTCAGTAGTCGACCGTAACGAGCTCGGTGAATCAGAATCCGGGGCGGCCACGACCGTGGTTGACTATCGCGGGGCATGGATATTCGACGAAGACGACGAGACCGAAGATCGGCCGGATGAGGCTGAATCGATCAAGGAAGAACCGAGCGGGGCTCCTAATTCCGGCCCGTGATTCACGGAGCTCCTCGAGGATGCGCGATTATTCGCGAGTACCCGGAGCCGGAAGGCGCTTCATCCTCCCTCCCTCTCTCCCTCCTCCCTCTCTCACTCTGTCTCTTTCTTTGCGGTAAAATTAACTTGCCTTCGATGGTCGAGCTCGATTCGACCGAGATAAGGGACGGTAAACCATGAACGGTCCGTTCATCGACGTTCACCGGCGATCGTATCCGCTCGTAACGCGCAGTTTTCGTGTGTATGTAGGTGTACGCGTACACGCACTAATAAATAAATCGACAAGAGCGTATTCGCGATTCAGCCCCGATATCCCCCGATTCACCGTTGTGACCGACGTGCAGCGGGGCGCGATAATGGTGCCCGGTAGATACACTTTCAACGTGCTCTCGAGTTTTTTCTCTTCTCCGTATCTTTGCCTTCCATCGGTTCTCCGATGGCGAGACAAAAGAGCTTTGAGAAAGAATTTCTCTTCTGCGGGGCACATTTACGAATGAAATTTTTAAAAATTCCATTCAAAGATTAATTTTTGCTAAACAATTCATTGCGAGAAATCTGCTCTAATTGTAAGTTTATTGGATGTTATTGAACTATTAATGAAGTATTATTTATTGAATTATTATTGAACTATTAATACACTTTTGAGCACAATGGTTGACTTATTAAGTGAATATCAGATTATATACGTTACTAAAGCATTTTTATGACATTAGAGAGACTCTATCATATTTTTTCCTTTGGAGAAAATTAAAAGACTTTTCAGTTTTGGCACAAAGCCGCTCGTCCTCTTTTATAGAAAAAGCTATGCCCTTAAATGTTAAAAGCGTGACCAGAGAGAGAGAGAGAGAGAGAGAGAGAGAGAGAGAGAGAGAGAGAGAGAGAGAGAGAGAGAGCCTCCTCCGGATACCATTATTGCATCCATCTGCACTTCACCGGATGGATGTGGCTGTTGATGTTTATCTCTTGTGTTCCGGAGCGTTATTATTTTGCACGGTGCGATGCACCATTTAGCTTTTCTTTCTGCATCGGAAAGTAGGTACGAGCGAAAATGCGAGTACGACGAGTTCGCAACGTCACGCGCGCACGTTATACTCGCGCTGCGAATCGAAAACAAAAGTGCGATGACACTGCACGTCTCGCTGCAAGAGGTATTCGCTGAGCAAGTACGCAACAGTTGTACTTTCGGGTCACGGGGGCAAGGATGATCGGCGAGGTGAAATTTAATTTTTAACATTTCTATTACATTTTTTTATTAACTTAACTTTTAATTCAATTAATTTTATTATAAACTAACTTGTATCTTAACTAAGTTAAATTTTCAAGATTGTTAACTTTAACTCATCTTATTGTTAGTTAAAAAAATGTTAACTTATACCCAACCCTGATTATTTAATATCTTGAACACTTTAAGTATTATAATTGTGTAAAAGCAGTTCCGAATATTTACGATGTTGCTCTAAATTGGAAACGACAATGCGCTCTGGGGTACGCAGGAAGCGAAATGCGCGGGAAGTAATATGTTGCAATCGGGATCCCTTTTCGTTCCTATCAATTATCCTACCTTTTGTCGTACGCGACGTTTATTTAGTGCGGCTGGCGCGGTCGTGCACGAGGCGTACCGGTTATCGTAAGCCCTGTTATCGTTATCGGCATCATCCTGTATTCCTGCCCCGCGAAAACGAGAAGCCCTCATTCTTTTCAACCGGTGCGACTTTTACGGCGCCGCGCGCGCCCGCGTCCCGATCGGCTTACCGCCGTTTCCCGAGCGCTCCTTACACGCGCCGAGACGATACCATTAATACATGTAGTTGCGCATATTCTCGATATGTAAACTCGATCTAATCAGCATAACTAGCCCTCCGCAACGTTCCTAACGAGCTTCGTAAAATTCCCACCTTTTTCCCTGCCTCTCTCTCTCTCTCTCTCTTTTCTTCATCTTTCAATTTTCATTCCCATCCGGTCGTCCTCCTACTCTGAGGAGATCACCCGGAGCGAGGAACCCGAGAGTGCGCCCAATCCCCCCGATCTCTCTGGCGTTACAAAACTTTAAACCGTTCTGGAAAATCTCGTTATCTCGTTAGAGATACTGAACTGTACAACACTTAATGCGCGCCGGACACTCCGAGTAATTCTGCGAATTGAATCGACTGATAATCAAGTCATGCCCGAATGCATTGGTTCGTAGGACTCGCTAAGGTGAGATAAACGCTAAATCGATACACACACACACACACACACACGCGCGCGCGCGCGCGCACGTAAAACAGGCTTTTTCAAAAGAAACTAATTTAATATATTAGAATTGTATCAATTAATATGTTTTAATCGATATTATACCTTTCATTGCAAGCGCTATCGTAAAGGTTGCGAATATACGTGCAGAAATTTTTGTCGTTATCAGTGAAATCCAATCGAACCTACGAGACTTCGTTAATCCGTAACAGGATCTCTTACGCAGTTTACTGGACGCTTGAAAATATTATTAGAAATAAGAATATCGCGGGCACCTAAGTATTTCATATCTCGAAACAGCTCTACGTTTCACGTTTCCTAATTGTCTTTACGATAAAGCCACTTTTGTACTTCGAAGGATAATAGCATGACACACACGACCGCTGCGTTTTTCTGTTTCTCTCGCAATACCGCTCGGATTACGCCTCGTTAATGGAAGACGAGAATATCGTTTTGCGTGTCCCCCGAAAAGGCAACAGGAAGGACGATCGTCCACGACATCGCGATGCGAGGGATCGGTGAAAGTACGTTTAAAATGTGAAAGCCGGCAGCTAATTAATACTTCTCTTCGGCATTTATTTATTTCATTTGTTAATCGACGTAATCATCGAATGATAAATGACACGCTCAGGCGAAGTGCGTGCGTTGTGAGTGTGTCACCGCGACGCAAGACGACGACGACGACGCTAACGTCGTTTGCATTCGAAACGACGGAGACTTTCTAGTGTAGTTGCAAATGTCGTGGAAAAGACTCGAAATGTCTTTGCGTAACTTCACGGTTCGCTTCACGAATTTTCATCTGTCGCCGCGGTTCCGGGAGACTCCAAATATCACTGCACCTGCAGCTGATAACGGCTCGTAACCTGATCTCGCTCGCGAAAAAAAGATCGCGGGTCACTGCTCGTTTTCTGCTCATTTACTTTCACCGCGTTTCGCGTTTCCAGATTCGATACGGTTGCAGAAACTGCCGATAACTTATTATTAATATTCGTACAGGAGTCAAGTATTAATAGCTGGCAAATTATTACATAGTTGCAAGCTATTGTGCATAATCTCGTGATATTTACAATTTAAAAATATTTTTATTCTATGCTTCGAAAAAATTACGATAAAATTAGTTAAGCGTAAAATTTTATAATGAGGATGTAAAAGAGAAATAATTAAATTTATGAATGCGATGAATTACGATACTGACGATAGAAACTTCAAAGTTTCCTTTAACTCTTTTTTTCTCTTTTTCTAATTTGTAAAATAGAAAACAATTGTTAGATTAGAAAAGAGTGATGTAAATGTAAGTGGAATAATTTTTAACTGCAAAAATATAGGGAGTTTAGATATTTAAAAATACATTAACTTTGTAAGAAAAATTAATTGTAAGTCTAATGCCCATATCATTGCGATTGGTGATTGTATTTGCTTCTTGCTGATTGGTCAAGAGACGCAAACGCAGACGCAATTGCCAATTGCTAGTGTGATACAGACACATAAAGCTGATTCTACATTAATCGGATCGCAGCGTCGCAAACGATACAGTTGTGATTCAACTAGCTTCGAGCTAGCTTGACATTGATTGGATTGCAACGTTTGCAACGCTGCGATGCGACTAATGTAGAACGAGCTTAAGGAGAATGCGAATCGTAGATGTATCTTAAGATTTAAAAAATTGACCAACAATCGATTATTCTCACAGTCGACTGTGATCAATTAATTTCTTAAATTTTAAGTCTTAAAGACTCATGTTTGTAGACACCGCTTTATAGGATATCTACTTTATCCAAATTTGAAGCAAGTTATTTTTTTAACACTGTCATACTCAAAACTTAAAACTGGACCATCTATTGAATCTGTGTGATCGGAAAGTGCAGCCTTCAAAAGGGTCTGTTCTATAACGACTCTATTCTATTCTAATTCGAATTAAGATTCATACCCATGCATTCGCTGATCATAATGCACGCACATCACATCGTATTAATAATTAATACGAATTATTATACGTCACATTGAGCACGTAAAAACATTAATCCCAAATCTCAATTCCAATGGTCGAGTTTTCGTCGTTTGTACGTGCATAATATATCTTTCGCGATAACAGCTCCGGAGAATCGCTTTATAGCTGAGTCGACATTAATGCGTCATCGAATCGCGGATAGTAGTCGATTGGAAAACCGCTCTAACTACTGTGCGTTCGCACTTCGCACCTTGTTCCGCGCACGCGAATCGCCGGCGGCCGTTCTCATTAACGAGGCCTCGCATTATCGTCGAAGATTCTAAAGAGCTCGGCGTTTAGATCCCCCAAAGCCTGACTATATCGCGATCGCCTGCGGATTCATACACGTGACTAGCGCCGTGATGAAAGTCTTTGCCATTTTAATTGACTGATGGATGAGAAGCTGTGACTAGCACGCGCTGCCTGTTGGAAAAGATGACTAAACTATAGCCTTTATAATTTTATAATGAAGCGAGCCTCAAGTTATCATTGCTCAACTTCTATTTGCGATTGTATTTAGCCGAGATTCACAACATGATATGTTTCGAATCTTTTAAAAATACACTCTGCACAAAGCGAGCGCATGAAAGCAAAAGGAAGAAAATGTCTGTTTCAAGATTTAGCCATTTATTAACATCTTTATTAACACCTACTTCTCGACTTTGTCATATTGGGCTATTGCATAAATTTCTTACCATATATTATTTTGCATGCGGAAATACAATGCTATTTCAAATCGGTATTTTCAACTTCTTCATCCTCTCGGTTAACAAAATTGGTGATGGCATCCGTCGCAAATAAGCAGAATGGTGACTGGGAGTTTTTTGCGCCGCTCGATTCCCCTTTTCGTTTTGCACTCGAGAACTCGACGGAATAGCGAGAAATAAAAGGGTTGAAAAAAAGGAGCAACGATCATCAGTATAGCTCTGTATTTCGCTGCCGTTACATGTCATCTTCCCTCGAGGAAGGCCGCGTGACGCGAGACCCGACGTAGATTAGACGCGTCGTAGGGTGCAAGCCTCAATACGGCGAGCCTTTGTCCTCCGGTAGCAAGAAGTAGATCGTCACGTCACCCCGAGGCGTCCTCACGATCTCGCGGTGCCGGACAAGCTGCGTCGCGGCCAATCCGTACATCAGAGTGGGGATACCTGTGTGTCAGGCGTCGGACAAATGCGTAAGGAGGCAAGAAGTCAAGAAAGGGGGATTATCGCCAGCCATCGCATTGCTGAACCCGTTCGCCATGGCTAATTTCAGATCGGTAGAGCACTCAATGAGACAAGACGTTGACCGTGGAAGGACGTGGACTCGCGGCTCGTCGTCCCACGTTCCTTCTCGGCCGTCGGAAATTAAACCAAAATAAAATCGCGCGGTTCCTGTCGCGACACGACGCCTTGTTCCCCGATCGTCGCTTTAGATTGCGGACTGAATTCAATTAATCAAACAACGAGCTGTGAATTTACAGGCTCTCAGACACAGTCTCAGAAGTTTCTGATCTTGGCGGCAAAGGAGTTTCTCGCGGTGAATTTAGAGTCGGCGTTTTTTTTTTTCTAAGAACTTTTGTGATGCTGTCGTATTTTGTGGCGATATTAAAAACTTTGATTTCAAGCCTCGAAATTCTGAGAAAATAAGAATTTCTCTTAAAATTTATAATTAAAATAAATTCTTCGAATCAAATTAAATTCTGTTTCTTTCACGTTTAATTATCAACAAGTCAAAATTAATCGATACGTCTCGGCGCGTTTTGGTTAAAATAATAACCCTTAGATTTTAGCTCGAGGAATCTCGTTAGAATTAATATCGAGGATCCCGTGACATCTCGTGTTCGCGGTAATTATAGGATTTACGAGCTCGCCCGGTTTATCGCGTCCAACCGGGGCCGCGGCGTAAATGAGCAAGGCCGCTTTACCGAACGGCGGAGCTCTCTCTCTCTCTCTCTCTCCTTTTCTTCACGACGAGCGCTGTCTGTCCGCCGCCAACCTTACCAAGGTTCAATATCTTGATCGCCTTGAAGAATCTGTCCTCGCCACTGAGATCCTGCAGCGGCCTCTTGCTGCAGTGATACTTGACGTACGGGAAGCAGCCGGTCCTAAGTACGTGGTAATTGCTGCCGCCCGCCGGCCAATTGAAGTGTGACATTCCCTGCTGATCGTTCACCACGTCGGCGTAACGGACGAAGTACGAGGTCCAGGGGGGCTCGCCGGTTTGCAATAGGTAGCTCGTTAGGACCTGCGGATTGCATGGATATAGCCGCGCAATCAGCCCGTCGGGCCCGGCTTTGTGCGCGCTGACTGATCGAGGAAATATCCCTCCAGGGGGATCATCCCCGCGAGCACAAGCGGGACAAAGTCCCGCGACCGTTACATCCCGTTACGACGGACGTCTCTCTACCACGACGACGCGTCGACTCGTTAACACCGCCGTCAAGCGGTCCCGGGCCCTTCCGGCTTTCCGTGTGTGTATGGAAGAAATTAACCCGTCGCGCGCGAATGCGAATGTATCAAAAGAACGAGAGATTTTAAGAATCTAGGCATGCCACTCGGAAAAACGACCAGCCAGTATCGCTATAATGTCGTTTCTCAACGCACGATCATATTACTTGTATATTTGCCGTTTCACATTACCGCAGGACGGGATTAAATTGCACCGGCGGGAGTAACTTTGCACCACCGTAAAGTAAGATTCTAGAATTATCCGATGTTTGAAAAAAAGAAGAAGGAGAGAACGAATTGCAATGGATACTCTGTGAAAATTTGAATTTATGAAATTACGTAACAGTTTTGTTACAAAAGTTTCTATTGCGGCACAGATTAAAACAACTTTTAAATAAGTATAATAACATGGAACGCGAAGAGATTATATCTACGTAATAAATACCTGTCCAAGTGAACTGCATGTCGATCTTACGGGCAAAAGAATGCTGAGTTAAAACCGCGAGAATTAGCAATCTTTCCATATACATTTAGAAAAATAAAAATAGAAATAAAAGTATAAATCGAGTTGCCGCCTCTCCGGGTAGAGCTTACACCGCAAATCTGATTCGCAAGACGCGGTGAGAACGTTCGGAGAATATAATCTGCAATTTGTGCAGTCACTCGGTGGCGATATACAATATGTTCGAAACGATGAATTCACGGGGGCCTGTTCGACTGGGAAGATTTCGCGAGTTTTATCACGGCCGCGCGATCGCGCGGGGCCGCGGGAATGGAGACACGAAGTGTAACACGAGCGTGTATTGTTACGTAAGAAAATGTCCGGGGAAAGTGCGCACGGTGCCCGCGCGGTGAGAAAAGATCTCCTTCGAATCGATAAAAAAAACACACACGCTTGTACACGACGCGTGAGATAATTAGGGGAGCGGCCGAATTAATTCATGAGAAACTGAGAGGCACACTAACCTCTGACGCCAACGGTTTCTTCTTCTTCTTCTTCTGGAATATCTTCGTCCACAGATTAGCATATCTCGTGGTGAACAGTGCTTTCCGTACGATGTGCGAGTGGACGATTATGCGTGATTGCATTTCAATCCTTCTGCGCGATCTATGTTGATCTGAAAATTTTACAAAAATTTATTTTATTAGATTCATTAAAGTAAGTATTCTTTTTAATTAAAGATCATAGATAAATAAAAGCGAATTAATGTGTATATGAAAGCGTATATTTATCGAGTACTATAATTACGGGGTTTATTATAAGAAACTTATTAAATTTAATAATTGTAAATATTTGAAAGTAATTAATGTTATAAGAAAGAATTCGATAAAATATTTTTATTAACATTATCAACATTATGAGGGCTGTGACAACAATTAAAAATTATATCAGAAGTCTAAAAGAAAAGAATTTTTACAATATTTTTCTATAAATACAGTTGTGAAGGTCTCAATGATTTTTACACCATTAAATGTAAAGAGAGATTTAGTTATATAATTAAGCTTTATAAAAATTGAGTTAAAAATTCAAAAATTTTATTTTCTTTAGTAATATTACTTTAATAGAAGTATCGAACAATTTAACGCGAAGGATAAAGAAGTTATGAGGAAGAATGAGTAAAATTGTTGTCATCGAAAGAAAACAGCCACTCGCGTCAGTCTAAGGCTATGCGGTTGAAGAGAGGCGGCGACGCCTTCCAGGAGAGTCCGCGCATAAATAGACGATGATAGAAGTAATCACATCGTATACTCAATAGTATCGCTTATCGACCCGCCGGCTAGGAATTCGTCACGGTACGTGTCGCCGCGCGTTCTGCCTTTCTAAAATAAACGCAGCGCGCAGGAGAGTCGCTCGAAATGTCAAGGTTAACGAGGTTCAGTACGATCGCACGGTGGAGGTGCGCGCGATCGTGTGTCCCGCGGTGTAAGCGTTAACGTTTCTGTCTTTTACGCGTGTTCGCGTCAGTGCGGAATGAGTAACAACGTAATTGATGGCGCGCGCGCGTCAACGTACTTTTGCACATCAGCGCAGTGCGGTGAATTCGCCGCTGATATGCGGTTCTGATTGCTTCATCGAGGTAGTCCACAAAGTTCCAGGAATACCATGAGCGATGGTGTCGTAATTGTGCGAAGTCGGATTACTTACCCGTTGATGCGCTCGACGCGTCGCGCATTCGTCGTTTGAAAAAGTACGGTTTTCATATCGTCAATTTTTATCAACAATTGCGTGTCTCTTATATAGCGAAATAAAGAAATACTGGTCGCATCGCGGAACGTTGTTCGGCAAAATGCAATCGAGATCTTCGCACACTTATTCTATAAGTAGCGATAGAAAGTGGATACTTTCTACTGGCCGATAATAGCCAGACAATCGGGAATCGTATAGCAGATTGAATCTCGCTCTCTTATTCGCGTTGCGAATTACGATGGGACGATAACCGTCTGATCTAATTCTTCCTATTATTGTTACACTAGCATTCGAAGGATCGCAAAGTCAATTTAAAGTTGTGCAGGCGCGTTCGCAGTATCTAATTACTACTTCCGTTATCGATATCAATCAAATGAGAGGTAATATACGTTTGTAACTAAGCTCTTGTCTTATCTTCCTTCGATGTTAATAATTCTGCGATTATCGCTAATAAATGTCTGTGCAGTAAGCAAGAATTACGAAAGTGAGCGAAAGTCTTGCTAATTGTAAGATTTTTCAGAGATTCTGGTTAATATTTTAAAATCTGCCGTACCTATACCACTGGTATATGCTCACTCTTTCACGCGTGCGCGAGATCTTCGTGCTGGCGAACAGATGGCTGCAGTCATTGGGCTGCAGTCGACGCCGCTTGCTTGAAGACTCCTGAGCTGGTACTTTACTTGGTATAAACGTCACAAATACCGACACTCGATTTAACGCGCGCGCGCGTTCTCGAACGAATGCAACGCATATAATTATTTTCTTCTGCGACTGGATAAAAATAGAGACGAAGACAAAGTATTACGCAGCATGTGCCTAGTGGTTACATAATCTGCGTGAACACGAAAGCCGTCACGAGCGCCGTCGTCGTTCAGTATCGATTCCGTATGGCGGTCTCTTTGAAAGGTTTTCTCCGTGTTTAATCTACTTTGGATCTTTCGTGTATTATTCGTATGGAAGATTGAAATCGAAGTGAGCGTAAAGTGCTAGAAAGTTATTTATTTGAACAATTACATGATTATTTTTCCCATCGTAACATTTATATACATGGACGTAGCTGAGGGGGCAGGGCAGATGAAACTGCCCTTCCCAAATCTCAAAGAAGAACAAAATTAATTACAAAAATTACATATTTACAGTATAATAAAGTAATTTCAAAATTCAAATGCCCGCCAACTATACAAATCTTGGCGCGAGATTAATTTTAGAAAAGAAGAATGAATCGGAGGAAATTGTATGGAAAGTTTTTTTGAGAATCCAAGACAGCTAATGTTATAAATTTAAGTTTCTCCAGTTTAATGAGTCAGTTTAAAATTTCAAGAGAAGAATAAAGTAAATTAGTAAATTAAATATATGTGACTTTGTGATTTACCTACCAGTAATTAATTAAAAATAATATTGTAAAACAAAATAAGTCTAATAGTACCACTCGACTATCCACTCTCCCTCCCGGAGTTCCAAAGTTTTAACTCTAATTTGACCCCTTCCTTCTTCTAACAAAATCCTGGCTATGTACGTTTATATGTACATATTATTTTTTTAAGAAACAATGTGAAAATCAAAATAAAGTATTATATATTAATTAAAACTTTCTTTTACTTAGAATACTTTAAGCCATGGACATTAATTGCGATTCGACGGAATGCGCGAGCGTGGTTCAGCTTCTTGCGTTTGAAGGATTCTTTTACATTTTAATTACTGTGTAATTTGTATTTGAAAAGATTAAAACGCGAGTCAACGTTACGACGGCTCAAGTTAATTTGTTGCCGTGCGTTTTATGTACCATTGTTATACTATCCCATAATTTTCGCGCGACAGGCGCGGCGGGTCCTCACTAAAGCGCAATTCCCTTCAATAGACCGTCCAATAATAGACCATTAGGAAACGCGGATGAGAGAAACCCCTATAAGCACTTCCAGGTGGTAAATATACCGCCGCGGCCTCGTGGCATGAGGTCAGACTGTCAAGCAGCAACCTTGACGGGCTATCATTCTCGACGAACTTGCGGTACATCTCGTTCCCTCATCCCCCGTCTCCGCGGATTCTTTTTCTCGTCCTGTCGGTGTTTACATCGGTCGTCGAGAGGCACTCTTCTCTTTAAGAGCGGCAAAACGATTTCGATACGACACTTTGATAAGCACGGTCGTAAATCATAGATAATGAACGATAAGAAAAAGTGCTTCTTTTTACCGCGAGAATAATAAAATACTTTGATATCTTTTGATTCTTGCTGAAGTACTTTACATTACTTTATGTTTAAAAAGAGAGTAGTATCCGAGAAAACTTTTTCCTAAACTTTAATTACACGGAGAAAATATTTTCTCTTAGAATTTCTTGAAAATCATGTAATCGTAGGACAACATTTTAAAGAATTTTATATGATTGTCTCTGATTTATTAATATCTAAACAATAAAATATAGAATAAGTATGATAAAATTTATCAGAAAATCACATAATTCAAAGAATTATGTGATTCACATAATTCTTCGAAATGCCATGTTGTCCTACGATCGTATGATTTTCAGAGTAAATTCTAAAAGAAAATTCTTAATGTTATGACTTCTTTATTTATCCATTCTATAAGCGTAGATGCTTGTAGCTACTTTTCTCGAGATTTATTTCTGTGTAAGTACTTGCAGGTACTTTTCTCGAAACTTATTTCCGAGGGGTCAACCACTACAAAAAAAAAAAGATTGCTAATTATAGCAATACAACACACTTTATTACTTTTGTATTGCTTTCGTATTGTCAGTAATATTGCCATCTATTATCTCACGTACTGCCATCTATTGCACAATATTGCCAGGTATTGCTCGAAATATTGCTATGTAGTATTGTATTACAATATTAGCAATATTAGCAATATATTCCCAAAGAAACATACACTGATTCCCATAGTGATTGACCCCTCGCTTATTTCTATAATCCATCGACCAAGTTTAGAAATAAGATTACGATTACTCTCGACGAGTTTTACTCAAAGGGCCCTCCTACTGTACGTTCTGCGTAATAATTTCACCATTTACGCGCGCGCGAGGCTTGCTCTCTTCTCATTTCCTCAACGAAAGTAATCTCCGACGTTGCTCCTCTGCCATCGTCGGCAGATATCGATTCGGAATGAACTAGTTACGCAGATTGCAGTCGCGCGTGCATTTGAAGGTCGGAGCATGCCTGACAATGCCCGGCGTTGCAACTTCCGCCGGGGTGTTGTGATTTATCGTGTCCTATCGCCGCCCGCGATTTACGCGTGACACGTTTAGCTGGCCAATTTGGAGTAACGCGCGCTCGCCTCGCAGTCACGACCCAGTTAACAGCGGCCGGTGTTCTCTCGACTATCAACGGTGACATTAACAAATGATAAATCTCGTTCATTTAGTTGTTGTTTCGGGACGGCTGGTAGAATGGCGAACCTGGAGAACGCGGGCGCTTCGCATAATAATCTTCGCGATCTTTCCCTCGTCGCCCGTTATATGATTCGGCCGGTATTGTGAATCGTTATCTTTGATGTACCCCTTTATGCATCGTGCTTTTGTAGGTGCATAACGTATCATTTTCATCGGGGATTTTTGATACACAGCCAGTGAAACTGTGCCAAGGGAATAATTATTTCACGAGAGTATCGCGTTTTTAGAATATTTCGCGCGTCCACTGCTCCATTTTCTTTCTTTTCTCGACGACGTTCTTACTTCGTTATTGATTCAACAAAACGACCACTTCAATATATGTATATAACGCGCTATGAATATTTAAGAATTCAAACTGTAAAAACGTTATCAGCCCTCTTTCGCGTCGTAAAGAAAATCCCGAGTACTCGTAATTCCGAGCCGCGGTAAGCGCGGTATCGTTACGTAAAACTGGTGATAGAGCCACTTTAAGTGAAAACCTTACCTCTTGCGGACGATAGCATCGTCATCGCGAGAGACGTCGCTTTCGTTCTGTTTTCAAATGAAATGCCACATCCCGGTGGCCGTATAACGCCGGCGAAATACACGCGCGCGAAATCCGGACTATTCCGCGCCCGCGCGGCGAGTCTTATCACTCCCCGCGCTCAGGATTCCCGTTCACGATCACTCTGTGCCCGCACCTCCGGTTGCCACGCCTAGCATCGTTTTCGCATACCGTCGCGACTTATACAGCACCCTATAAATTACGACCGTATTTCATTAACATCCACATATGTTTATTATAGCCGCGCTACGTGCCATTAACGTGCGCGAGCGACGACGGCGGGGGGAGGGGGAGGGGATATGCTTAAATCTAACAGTTTTTTTTTTCGATATTCCCATTGTCGAACAGCGAATTAACGCGTGTGCTAGAATTCCATCTAGAAATTCGCGTATTTTTGTAAAAAAAAATTTATAGCGAAGATTCTGAAATAATAATCCCATGTCTAATTGAGTTTCCATGCTGCGTCCCACGTGTCGTGGCGATAAATATTCAGATGCAGAAATATCGAGTAGCTCTCGAGCGGCAATATTGACGGTGACATAACGGCGCAGGGGAAAAAGGACGACGCCGAGCGGACGAGGATCCGCGCGCGCGAAGACGCCGTCACCATCAAATTGGATTACGTCGCCGTCGCCGCAATCCGGCCGACGCGCGACGCGAGCGTGCGCGCGAGAGACACGCAGGAAGCGCGCGTCTGCCCGCGGCGGGCAGCTGCGATTACATCGCGCTTAATCGACTAGAACGTCATAAAGGCACGCAGCGCGGCTTTTCTCCACCGAGATTCATTATCAGGCGACGCGTTCGCGAGGACGGGCGGAATGTTAATATAATATATTCACGTTCGCATACCGGACGTTTCAAAGGTGCAAAAACGTGTCGCTAACTAACTTAACTCTCGAGGGGGATGAAATCGCAGTCGGGTCCTAGAGTTAACCTCGGATCCGGCGGGAATTTTTTTGCGCAAAGCTCTAAGGAATCGTCGTCTGGGAATCTTTAAAGAAATCCAAAGTTTAAAAAGCTTCATTAGCCGTTACTTTAACTGTCGTTAGTAGAGACGGAGATTATTCCTTATGGAGGGTTTTCACACTCAGAGCTCCCGTGGCTGTGGAATTCCATACCTATTCGGGATATTTAAAAAAATATTTTAATTTTTAACAAATTTTAAGAAATTTTGAGTGATTTGACAAAAACAATATTAAGATTTATAACGGTATAAAGATTTATATTTGTAAAGAGAAAATATATGAAAAGAAATTAAATATAAAAGAATTTTTGTAGGAACTATATTTCGCACATATAATAAAAGAAATAAAATATTTGTGTTATTGAAACCACTACCTCTTTCCCGTTTGAATAATGTATTCCCCAGAAAAGTCAAAAGTCTCTATCCCTCGTTAGTTTGCCTTCCATAACTTTTGGAGAGGCTTATTACATTTAAAACACCCTGTATATATAATTATGTATTTGACACCTTTGACGTGAACTGCTATTCAATCCACGTATTTGCGACGATGACGAGGAAGTGCGAGCGAAATTCCTTACTGCAATAATCGTATGTCAAAGCGGAATAAATTTTTTATCCCGTCCCACGGCGTGGACGTCCAAACTCTCTTTGGTATAGTGTATTTTAAATGATCTCTCTCTCATGTAACGATAATGCCGTACATAATACGGTATAATACAATTTGCCCGTCGCTTCCTCGTCAACTATCTCCTCTGAAACTGCCAATACGATATTCATACTCTAGCGCACGCACGTCTTGCGCACGCGACCCGCATCTACGTTATACCTATGTATACGTGTCCCGCACGACGCGTGGATCGCAGGCGTAAAGATACGCGACGTCAGCACACATGCGTTTACACGCACGGGACACGCATGGGACAGGACGGAACGGGACCAACGGTGTGCGTTGGCTATTTCGACGCGCGCGAATCCTACGATTTCCGCGAGATAAACGATATAACGGCCGTTTCTCGCGCGCGCGCCGCGTCCTGTCGCGTCCGCGTCGCCGTCGCGTCTCGGACGACGACGACGACGACGACGACGATGCCCGCACCTTCATTATACGTGCGCGCACGTGTAATCACGCGGATTTTTTCCAGTCGCGGATGAACGCATATACGACGGCCTAACGGGATCCCTCGGCATTGGGCGTACGTCTCTCTACGCGTAAACACATCGTAGGATACCCGATCCGTTCCTTCGCACATCTACGTGCGTGATAAATTAGCCGGACAATATTTTCTAATTGTAATCCGTGAATACGAAGTTTTTCAACGGATAAAAAGGATCAGTAATTAAAGAATCGGGAGATGTGCAAAAACGCGAGCTAATCCAATACGCTTTGGCGCGTTCGAGTTTGAGTTTTTTAAATCTTTAGTGAATTCTATTCATCAAATCGCATTAAACGCAAATGCATTTACCAGAGTAATATGCCCAAGTGCATTGCGGAAGTAAGATAAATTTCTCCGAACTGAAGTCCGGATTTTAATTTAGCTGAACCGTTTCTCACGGTTTAGGGCGACGTTGTTGTTTGCACTTTCTCTCAATCGGTTCTTTTCTGTGCGAGACAGCTCGCGGCTCGCCTTAAACTCATTTATTATTATCTAACGACTATAAATTAAAATTTCGTTCGTGATTACTCGCGGTGATTTAACAGTTGCCCGATTCGAAATCGAGCGAGCTGTATTACCATAATCCAAAACATGCCTTCCGGCTGCATGGAGTTAATTTGTCGAGGGGTTCGGCCGGCCGCGCGATTCCGATCGTTGTGACTGAACACGATGCGAACGGATAACGCCGGATTTTTTCTTCTCAGGATTTGTGTGCAATTCATTGTAAATCTATAGTCACGTATGTTGATTCTGTACGTGAATAATAAATGTGTCTAATACGGCGCCTGCAT